CCCCCAGTGCCGAGTTTGTGGCCCGGCCTGCAGGAATCTGCTCCATGATGAAACTCCCTGTCCAGACCTCAGCCACGGGGTTGGATGCGGCATTTATCGGCGTCCCTCTGGACATCGGCACGTCTAACCGCCCAGGAGCCAGGTCAGGACCTTCCTGGGGAGTAGGAGAGCTGGCACTTCCCTCCGCGCTTAGGTCCATCCGCGTCCTGCCATCCCCAGGGCGCGCGGGGGCTCCGTCCTCCCTCTCTCCGCAGGTTCGGTCCTCGCCACATCCGCGCCGAGTCGGCGATGCTGCGACGCTACAACCCAAGCACCGGGGCTGCCCCGTTCGACTCCCTCCTGGTGGCTGACGTTGGGGACGTGAACGTGAACCTCTACAACCTGCCCGACAGCTGCCGGCGCATCCGTGGGCACTACGCAGAGATAGTGGCTTCTGGCTGTGTGCCCCTCACCCTGGGTAAAAGCCCCCACGCCAGTGCTGTCCCCACTGCCCCTTCAAACCTGGATCCCTTTGGTGTCTATTTACAACCCCAGCCACGGGTTTCTCTCGGAGGACTCTGCAGTTGGCTCCGCAGGACAGATGCAAGCGCAGGAGCGGCGTGGAGGGAAGATGAGCCCGTGTGAACAACACGTCTCACCTCTTCCCCATCCCCTTGCAGGTGGCGATCACACCATAACGTACCCGATCCTGCAGGCTGTGGCAGAAAAGTAAGTGTCAGCCCTGAAAATACAGAGCCAACCGGCAGTCCCTTGGCCCCATCACCCCGCGGCTCAAAGGGATCCAGACGCCCCGGGGAAGGCACCGGGGTGACGTCCTGCATTGCCTCAGCCAGGCACGGCCCCGTGGGGCTGGTGCACGTGGACGCTCACGCTGACACCGGTGCTGCGGCGCTGGGCGAGCCCATCTACCACGGCACCCCTTTCCGGCGCTGCGTGGACGAAGGGCTGCTGGACTGCAGGCGCGTGGTGCAGATCGGCCTCCGCGGCTCCTCCTACGCCCCCGATGGCTACCAGTACAGCCGGGAGCAGGTAACAGGCACCACTGAGGGCTGGAAACCCTTGGATGAGAGGCAATGTCCAGCGATCCCCGTTCGGTTCCGGTGGGAAGGGCGATGCCCCTTCCCACGTGCTGTCCCGCTGCTCGGCTCCGTGCTGAGCGCAGGGTTTCCGCGTCGTCCTGGCTGAAGAGTGTTGGCTGAAGTCACTGGTGCCGCTCATGGAGGAGGTGAGGGAGCAGATGGGGGACAAACCCGTCTACATCAGCTTCGACATCGACAGCCTCGACCCTGCGTACGCCCCGGGGACGGGGACGCCCGAGATAGCTGGGCTCACGCCCGCCCAGGTAAGCGACACCACGGCCCCGCTCGGGCAGCAAGGATGACTCCGTGCTCCCGCTAGAGGAGGGCAGATGACTGGGTCCGCACCAAGGCGAGAAGAGAGAATCACCTAAGAGCCGCAGGAAAGACCACATTGAACCGATGCCATTTGGTCTCTCTGGGCTACATTTTAAGTGACAGGGGTCACTTAAAATATAAAAGGGGAAAGAAGAAACTGAACTGTTTCACTGCATCAAATGCATGTTTTTTGCTCCCAAATCTTTTTCGTCCCTAGGCCTTGGAGATCATCCGTGGCTGCAGAGGTCTGAATGTAGTGGGTTGTGACCTCGTCGAAGTGGCACCAATATATGACGTCTTGGGTGAGTCTGACGAAACACCGCTCGGTGCAGATGGGGTTCGTGGGCACTGCGGTGTCATGCTGCGTTGCTGTGGCTCCACGTGGCAGGGACTGCTAGCCAGCTTCACGCGGGCGTAACGTGTTGCTTATTCTTGTTTTTCTTTTGTGTAGGTAACACGGCCCTCTTGGGGGCAAACCTGCTCTTTGAAATGCTGTGCGTTCTTCCCAAAGTGAAAACCCTGTAAGGGCAGCACCTGTCCCTGCCATCCAGGACACTTCTGCCACCACTGCCTGGAGGCCCACGGGGCCCCCCTGGCCCTGCGCGACGGGGCCCTGGTGGGGCCCGTTGCGGTCTGAAGCAGCAAGGGGGGAGATGTCAAATGCTGTGGCACCTATAGGACCAAATCTGGCAGTATCGGATTCACAGTCTGTTGACTGCAGGGCCGACTGCTTTCTGAAGTAGTAGTCGTGTTCACAAATAGCAGGATTTATTCAAATACAACATTTACAAAACTGGAAAACTCTCTACTACAGCGTGGGGTTTTTAGCTAGCTCTCGTGTACAGATGTGCAATCACCACTCACCCCAGAAGATGGGAGAGGGCTCTTGGTCTCCAAGAGTCTCTGCAGGCAGCGTCCTGACCGAGGGGAGGGAAGGGAGTTCAGCCCGTGGATCCAGAACTTCCGATGGAATCTTCCTTCCTCCCTCTTTCCTCCTTAGTTCACCTTTTATTTTTTTTACGTTTAGGTGGAGCTTGAGTGACTGTCGTCATACTTAGTTTTATTACTGATTTGTGAAAAAGTCTCTCGCTTTCATTTAAAGGTACAGTCAATGGAAAATCCAGAGCCTGCTCCGTGAGGAGTGGTGGTACCTCAGAGGCAGGTAACTTTGGGGATGGAGGTGTGCGTTGGCATTAAAATGAATTTATAATGGGCAAAGTTCAGCCAAAAGGAGTGATCTGCCACCAGTACTGGCTCAGAACCCGACATCTTATTGTTCATTTCCCGGGGGGCAGCCACCGTGCGGCTCATCAGGGCTCGGCAGAGGGAGTAAATGGAGTTTGGCCGCGGTGTCTTCGCTCCGCTCCACCCTCCGTTACTCCCCTTTGCAGCTGCGACGAGGGCAGGCAGTGCTGCCTAGGGAACCGTGGAGGAGCAGAGTCCATGTGTACCAACCATCCTGGAGGTGGCAACTGGGCATTACCCCAAGCATGATTCTGTAATGCCGTGATTTCTATTAGGCCCTAGTTTTTCTGCAAGTTCCCCTTTTCAAGCAGTTCTTGAACAGGTTGCACCATGGCCATAGTGCATCCTGGGCCCTGTGTGCACAGGGGCCCTGAGGGCTATATTTCCCCCCGCACCATGTGCACAGAGCGGGGGGCTGCACCAAGGACCCCCCGCATCCCTGTGCACACTGAGGCCTGTCGGACCCTCCCGGACCCGTGTGTAGGTCCCTGAGAGGTCCCACGAACGCCCAGAGGGTCCCCACACCCCATGCACATGGAGGACTGCACAGAGGCCCGTGGGGCCCTCCCAGCCTTGTGAGTCCATGTGTACCGGGTGGGGGCACGTGGAGGCCTGTAGGACAGCCCTGACCTTGTGCACGTGGAGGCTCCTGAGGGCCGCACGGAGCCCCAGAGGGTTCCCCCGACCTTGCGCAAACGGAGGCTCTGGGAGCCTCACAGAGGCCGTAGCGCCACCCTGTCCCTGCGCACACAGAGGCCCCGGCGGGGCCACGCTGAGCCCTGGTGGCCCCACTGGCCCCCTGCACACAGAGGCCACGGGGGGTGCACGGAGGCCTCTAGGGCTCCCCTGGACCCACACACAGAGGCCCATCTGACCCCCAGCCCCAGGCACACGGAGGCCGCATGGAGGCCCGTTGGCCCCCTTGAGCCTTGGGCCCGTGGAGGCCCCACTGAGGCCTCTATGACCCCACGGCCCCATGTGTTCTTAACAAGAGTAAGACCCATTGCTAGCGTTTCCACTTCCTTGTTGTGCATCTCCAGACAAATTTCCTCCCCTTGAGTGTACCTGGATTCTGTGACATAAGCTACCTTTAATAAACTCTTCATAGTTTGATAAAACTTTCCGAAGAGTTTCTCACAAGGAATGATCTGGAACAGGAAGAACTATTCATTATTGGCAAGAACAATAAAAATGATAAAAAGCATCAGAAGTGCCATTAGTGCCTGGATGTTTCTAATTCCTGAAAGCTCAAGAGCTTCAGTTCTACACCTAGAATGTGGTGTGGTTCAAAGGAAGAAATTACTAAATCCAGCTAATAGCCCGACCCCCCTAAAAAACTTATTCATAAGGCTAGGAAACAAATTTGATTAGGAGAATGAGCATAAAGATGACAGGTCCTCACAGCACCTTGGAGGTGCATGGTTGAAAACCTCTCTGTTCTCATAAGGATTTGTTGACCTAAACCTTAGAGAACAGTCATGTGTTTGTTCCAGTTGTCTTTCATAGCATACCATGTCCTCTTTTCATTCCAAAAATACTTACAGAAATCCAAACATTCCCTTTTGATAAGGCTAAGAATGATTCTGTTTTGTTATTTGGAAATATATTTCATTGAAGCTGACATATCCCAATTGCAGATTTCAGTTTCAAAAGAATGGCATTTCCCAATAAGCAAAAATTCTTTTAAATAAATTTGAAGCAGCATTAACCAGGAATAATGAATCCTAGATTTTTACATGAGCCAAGGCAGACTGAAATCTAGCAACAGAAATGTTTTGTTGTTTATCTGCAGTAAAGCTAGCAGTGGCTGCTATTTCTTTGCATTAACATTGACTTTTCACATTTTCATTCTAGTCTGCCAAAAACCCAAGAGACAGGAAAGAATCCAGTTATGGCACCATCATTCGAATGGATAGCTAACAAATTACTTTGGCACCTACTAGTTTAAATAGTAAACAAAGCTCTATGGATTCTTTATATCATGGTATCACTGCTTACACTTAGACTTGATTTGCTGCTTTGTATACCAGAGTGTCATGGGGTCTTAATAAAAGGTGCCTCACACCTCCTGAGCAAGACAACCTAGTTTATTTTTTATATAGAAACTTATATTATATATAAAATATATTTTTTACATATATATAAAATAATATATGTATACACTATATATATATACTAAAAATATATATATATATTTAAATATATATATATATTTTTCGGAAGACCACCTCTCCTACAAGTCAGCAGCACCCTTCTGCAGAGGTTACCTTCTCCAAAACAGACCCAAGATGAAGGCAGCTTCAGAAAAGGGTTAATAGAAATTAATTAATTGCTCAGTTAATAGCAATAGTTAATTACTCCTAGAGCCCTCTTTAACCCCAGCCTCTGCATTCTGACCTATTTGAGCGCATCAGCTTTGCTACCTTTTTGTTTAAGATATTGGTAGAAAAGGTTAATCCACCCCTGCACACACGCTGGCTTGAGGAGCCACAGAAACACACAGAAACGAAACCTACTGGTGCTCAGACAACTGTGCAACTGTGCTCCATGGTCACCCGTGGCAAGGAAAAATCCTCCTTCTCTGTAAGGCAAAATTAGGACATCGGCGCTTGCAAGTCTGCGGGCAGGACAGCCGGTGGAGCGCAGGTAGGGTGTCATCTGAGGACATTCAAGCTAGGAGACACACAGACAGAGGGATTCAGACAGTATTTACCAGAGAATTAAATGCTCTGCTCTAAAGCTATTTCAGTGCCCCTAAGTGCACATTTATTACCACATTTATTCAGGTAAACATGAGGGCTAACTTTAAAATGAAAAAAAAAACCCTTCAGTTCAGTGCTGCAAATAACAGGGAAAGAAAAGACACCCTTAGTGTTGCTCTTTCTTTAAATATTTCTAAGAATAATTTGCAGAAGGGAGGGAACTGCCTGTACATCTTGCTCTGGCTAAGCCCCCTTCCCCCTTTGCTAAATAAGAGTCTTCTAAAATGCTCAACAGCTCCTGTAACTTTAAACCTGGGCTGAGATCATAATTTTAGGACTGACCAAACAGTGCGGGAAGGGCGGGCCCAGCTCTTCTTTTTGAGACCACCTTAGACAAGCTCCCACCCCTTCGCTAAAGGGAAAAAACACCCACTTCACTCCGTTACTTTTCCTTAGCTCTACAGTTATCATCTGGGGAAAAAATTTCCTGCTGTTAAAGGAATATTTCAAATACCAAAGTGTTTTCTGCAGTGACAACTTGCTGTGAACTCAGCTCTCCGCTGCCTCCAAAAAAATTGAATCCGTCTGGTCTCGGGACAGGAACGCTGAGCTCTAACCGTAGCAAAGATGTTTATTAAAATTCAGATCATCATCTTCGTGCTGGGGAGCGTTCCTTTCACAGCTCTTGCTGAAGAAGGTAAGAAAAAGCTTTGATTAAAATGATTTCCAGTGATTCCACATAATTAACAGCTTTTGTGCTTGCTCATATGCAAAATAATTGCTCTTTCCTAGTTACAAACTTTCATTTGAATTCTAAAGCTATTACTGAGCATCTACTATGGTGGTATCAAAGGAGAGATAGCAAAAAGTTTCAGACTGGTAGAGTTATGCTCTAGTGAAAAAAGACTTTCTGCGTCTGTGCAGGGAAAGGGGCAATTTGCAAGGAGTCAGCAAAGAAATTACCGCAGCAGCTCTTGGAAATGTCTTTAGTTTCACTATGTAATATATGCAAAGGAGACTGTAAGCCATAATTTAGTTGTCACTGATATTTGGATGGTGAAACTCTCTGCTATGAGAGTCACATATAAATCTTTGCAGCCTCCCCATTCAAGAGCTTCTGTACTTTGAGGCACTACAATTTAGAGCTCAAGCCCTATCCATGGTTTTCCTAATATTAGCTTAGGTCATAAGCAATACATGTGAGGGAAACTATTAAATAGGAAGAATTACTACTTAGCATAGGTTTGGAACATCTTAGTCACCTACTCGAGACAAGTTTATTTGGCTAACTATTTCTTTTAAAAATTACAGGAAAAGACCTAAAATACATATTTAGGAATAGCTTCAAATGTATCTAAAAAAAAAAAAAAAAAGGAAGAGTCTGGTTAATTAAAAGCAAACACGGTTATCCTGGACAGTACTTTATTCCAGGGCCATCACAATCAAATTCAGCCTTTCTACATAATATTTGAATGTATTCACAATGAATTGGCATCAGGCAAAGGACTCCATATTCCTGCAATACTGCCATACAGCAACTGCTGCCACACAAAGCTGGTATTCCATGTTGCAAGTAATAGTTTTCTGAAGAAGAACAGCTTGAAACTCAATCCATCAGTTTTCAAAAACCAAAAACATCTTGTGATTGATTTGAGTTTTCAGACCTCAACTGCGAGATGTCAGGCGACTGTTCGAAATGCCAGGGGTGCCGATTCACTCTACATGTGAATATTGGCTTGCGACTCTAACCAGAATTCTTGGAACTCTGTATGTGAGGATACGAGGCTTAAAGAGTTTCGAATTTTGCTCCCAAACTTCCCAGCAATCTAAACATCAAGAGATGTTGGACAAACACTTCAAGCATTGCTTTCTGGGCCTTCTACAATAAACGCTTCCTCTGATTGCTGAGTTAAGGAGCTGAGCAAAAGTTTTCCGGTCAAAGCCTTGTTAGACAGAAAAGTGTAAAAGGAATTGGTGCTTGCAAGATTTTAACTTGGTTTTATGGCCCACGTAGCTTGCATTGACCTCCAAGGACTGATCCAGAACTTGCCTTGTAGTATTTAAGGTACTCCAGCTGCCCGTGTCTCTCTAGCTAAGTTTTATGATCCCAGGGATAATTTCCTATGGGTACTCCAGGAAAGTAGACTCTGGATATCCTGGAGACTTGTGCATATATTTATATACCACGTGTCCCACTCTGCTGTTTGCCCATAACCATCTCTGATTATAAGTTAGGACAGACCTGGAATAAGCAATGCCACCAGTGGCACCACTGGCCAGTGGGATGAAGCAACTGCTCCTGCACAGGACCAGGTGGCCTGGGTATCCACGGATACCTGAACTTCTGGGATACACAGTTTGGCCTGGATGGCTTTGAGAAAAGATCTCCCAAACAAATTCGGATACCTCTTACTTGTGATCATGCCAGAAATAAATCTGTAGCTGCCCTTGTGTTGCATTTGGGCACTCCAGTTTCTGGTCAGTCTAAAAGAGCAGGTTTTGATAGGGGACACAGTTCCAGGAGGATTACTCCAGTCACATAACACAAGCAACAATTAACATGATGGTTAACAAGTTATGACATGTCACAGCTGTAGCAACTGTCCATGTGCTTGCTCTTAACCACTTGCAAATAACTAGGTAGTATCTCTAAGTCTCAAAACGATACAGGAATAGAATTATAAACATGTAGTTTGTTTTCTCCTCTTAAGTGCGAATGGAGAGAGGTTTGCCCATCCACTTACTTAAAACCTGTGAGTTAAAAGCCAGTATGAATCTATGTAATTTTAGAAGCGAAAGAAGCCTTCAAATTCTAAAAACTCATGGCTGCACCTTTTATTAACTCACTTTGCATGGTGCAAACTGCAAACAGGGAGGTCACATTCTCACCTCCTGTAAATCCATTTCCATAAGCCCATGCATTCACTCCAAAAGATGCAGCTCTTGGAAATCAGCAGCAAACACCCTAAAGAGGTAAAAAGAGAGATAATCCACCCAAAAGGTAGATAATCAAAAATTGGTTAAAAAAAAAACAAAACAGAAACCATGGTTCCCAGCATCCGAGCTGTTGGGCTGAAGGGCGCAGAAGGGTCTTCCTTGCGGCGCCGAGACCGTCCGTCCGGACCCGGGTGTTCCGGAGCGGAGCCGCCGGTCCGTGCGTGGCGCCCGGCTGTCGCAGCGCGCGCTGCCGCGGGGGCTCGTTTGCTTTTGTTTGCTTTTCGTCTGCATGCGGTTGAGGGGGAGGTTGCCAGATAGAAACATCCCAGGCCCTGGCTGCAGCCAGAGCCTTGGGCCAGGCCCCCGCGGCCCCGCGCGCAGCCGCCAGGAGCCACAGCTGAACCCAACGCCGCAGCCACGCGGCGCGCAGCTCCGTGCCCGCTATTCCAGAACAAGATGTAGGACAGAGCACGGGAATGCTGGGAAGTGCCGGAGACAAACAAGCGAGGAAAAATGAGGGAAAAAAATTACTTTTCATTTCCAACTCCCTGTCTCAGATGCCTGGCCAAAGATTCCCAAAGGAAATAGAAGCTGTGACACTGTGCACATCCTCATTTTGCTTTACGGTTGCCTCATATTTCCATCTTTGTATTTGTTGATTACAACTATCAAAACATCAGCATAAATTATACTGGAAAAATCCTTTCCAAAGGCACAGTTCAGCTGCGTGTACTATTTTAGACCAATGTGTACTCTTAGGAGGACCTGAATAGTACAGCAGCTACTGCTAAATCCCTGAAGGGGACACGCTTCATTCTGAGCGAATACTACGATATTTTCACAACTCTGAAATACCTCCTAATATTGGCTAGTATGTTATTAGCTAATATGTCAGACTAAAAGTATTTGAATGTCTGCTATGGGCTGCCAATAGCAAGTAGTGAAAAATCATTGTGTGAACAAAATCACAGCTTAACTAGTTTCCATGTGCAGCCTTAAAGCAAATGAGTTAGGAGAAGATCGTGCAAACATCTCCCTGGCAGAGGGAAGGGGATGGGAACCCAGGAGGACAAGGCACCGCGGGAAGTCACCTCTGCAAGTCGACAGCTGTACAGGGATCTGCCCACAGCCTCCAGGCTCTGGGAAGGAAGTGATTCAGGGAAGAGCTTTTCATTACAATACCAGAGGTCATTCTTTAATTCCTTTCATCTGTATTCACATATCCCTCTATTTGTACCCAGCTTGTTTTGTACTTTCTGTGAAACTGACCTCGTGTGAAGTGTCCCAGGCTCCAGCGCTCCCTCCTTTCCAGCCATGCCACGATAAACGCGGAGCGCTGGAACGCTGCGCGCGGGGCGATGCAAGAGGCCGGCGCCTTCACCGCGTCGGCTCCCGTCTTGTTGCCCCGCTCAAACCCTTCCTGCTCACAAAGAACAAGACTTTGTTAATAAAGGGAGCAAAATCCTGCACTGAGGACACTTGTTCAGCCACGACATAACAACTCTGAAGTCAGTGTGCTTAGACAGTGAATCTCAGCTGTAACACAGTAACATTATTAAAAGCATAAACCTGAAGATTTATCCCTAGTTCTACTAGACATTTCCTGCAAAGGAATATCCCATAATGGAGGAGTTAGACCTTCCTTAATATCCATGGTTCTGTGAGTGATTTTTATCCTGCATAATAGGAAAAGCTTAGTAAGTTATCACCTTTTTTTTTTTGCTGCTGTGGCTTTGTTTCATACTTTTTCCTATTGCTCATGCGTGTGTAGCAATCTCTTAAACTGCAAATCTTTCTCTATCCCAGTTAAAATGTTTTCTTTTTCTGTGGGTATCCTACGGATGGCCGTTATTAAGTGTAATATTGCAGTATTCGGAGGACACGCAGTTCCTTTCGAGCCAGCCGCGCGGTTCGTTGCCGCTGGCTGCGTTCCCTGGCTGACGGCG